ACACTTGAGTTTCTCAATTCTTATTTTTGGTGCCTAGATATAACGGTAACTAGTAAGTGTAGGAATTTAATGATTGATGTCATAAGCAATATTTCCAGTTATGGGTACTGAGGAGTTGAAGCTGACAGCATTGATAGTGGCTCTGTTCTATCCAGCACTATGTAGGCTTGTGATTGGATATGAAGGCAATTTTCCCCTTGATTAAAGCCACAGCAGAAAATGTTGAGGTAAAAATGAACAGAACCCTTATCATGACCTCAAAGAAGGACACTCTTTGTGCTTACAGGATTACTCTGTTTGTATGCCATTTGTACCTCTGCTTACAGACTGAACCTATTATCACCAAACGCAGGCTGTTCTGAACAGATAACTCAAAGAAAAATTTACCAGTACTAAAGTACCCTGTGGTTTTCTCCATCCCCTGAGTGCCAAGTCCTTTGTTAGCACTTTCTCCTGTGTGATACAGTGTTTTGCAGCTCCCCCTCCCAAGCTTAGTGCAGTATACAGAAGTGGAAGGACCTTTTTTTTTATTTTATTTTATTTTTTTTTAAATGCCTTCCTTCAGAACTAGCACAGAGCTTTAATCCCAAAGAACAGAAGTTTCCCAGGGTGAGGCAGGAGTGCCCTAGCTGCACTAATCTGCTTACAGGAGGTGCTCACACTGTCCCAAGGTACATTCTGTTTGTCAGGGTCACTGCTGCTGACCAGCTTTTTTATAGAGGACTCAGAGTTTCAGAAATATATTTTTGTAGACGATGACTAAACTGTGAAACATTGAAATAAAGCATGTAAACAAAAACTTACAGCACTGTCCTCTGTACAGATGTTTTTCTCAGTTCAGTTCTCTCCTGACTCATTAGAAAATGTTTGATTACTTCTTGGATATATTTTAATAAAGTTCTCCAAAGAACGTGGCTGCTGTCTATGGAAGGGGTGGCCTTAGATACAATATTGAAGGGGAGGGTTGAAAGCCTGTACTGTGTCTGCGTCAGTCCCACTTTTCTCAGACTGGGTAAGTTGGATCTTCCACACAATCACTCCCTGGATCAGCCACTCTGGCAAATGACTTTGGATTCTGGAGCATTGACCATCAGTTAAGGCTGGGAAAGTGGCAGACTGGAGAAGAAGCCATCTTCAATGGTTAAGGGACAGCTTTGGATGTAGCCTGGTGTTTACTTACATGACTTCTCATAAGTTGAAATTGTGGTAACTGATTTTGCAGCCTTTCAAGTGTGTAATTTAAATATACATGTGTAAACAGCAGTAGCTGTCTTCACCCCTTTACAGCAAAATAGTATTTGAAATTAATACACAGAAGTAGCCCATGAAACTAGTTTTTCTAACAGAATAAAAGTTGGTGCAACAGAATTAGCATAGAAAAGTGGCTAGGTATTTCATAAATGGAAGTTAATTCACGTTTTATGGCCTATGCTCCCTGTGTTGATCATTAATGAAAGTTAGGAAACCCCTTCCTATTCTTGGTGGATTATATCACTATTTGTCTAGCTGGTGCTGTGCACCTTTGCAATCTCCAGCACCATGCTCAGGAGATGGGATATGGGAAATGCTGGCCTGCTTTATCATGGCAATTTCAGTCTTGGAGCTGGTGGAATGGGAAGGGGACAGGACCACTTGGAATCTTTCACATGGTGGTACTATTTCTAATACATAGCTGACAATCTTACTGTTTCAGTGACGAAGCTTAAGACATGAGGGCAAAGCCTAGTCTTCAAAGAATGTAGTACTGATCTTGGTACTTGATCTTACCATGGCAATCACTTGGACACAAGACATAATGGCTCTGCTACCCTTCAATAATGTTTCATGTAGATATTGGCTCCTGTACTTTTTTTTTAAAAAAAAAAAAAGGGAGGGAGGTTAGTAAACCTAGAGGTGGGTAATAAATCAAAACTCTCAGAAGCTGTACAGCAGAGGAGGACAGAGCCGAGTTCTGATGCCACTAATGTTGGTTCTTAAGTTCTATGTAGTTGTTCAAAATACCAAATGCAGACCCTACTTTCCAAAAAAAAGTTTTGAACCTTCTCTTGATGTAATAATCTGTCTTGGAATCTGTTCAGTATTTTATCTGCATGCCACAACAGGACTAAAATCACACCATAAAGAGTACAGATAATGGGATGAAATGATGAAGTACACTTCTGAGGGCAGGCACATTGTACAAACTGGTATTGGGCATTGCCTCACCCATTTCCCAGTACAGTAAATTGCATCCCTCTAACCACAAACTAACAGATGAAATGTTGTCATCTACTTAAGACAACCTGGCACAATCATTTTGAATAAATGAAAGCGAAAGCAAGCAACTTGCCTTTGCTGCTGCTAATTCAGTGTCAAAGATGACTTTCCTGAAGTGAGGAAACGCTACACGCACAAGAAGAAAACAACTTATATCCACAGGAATATCCTTGTTCTCATATGGAGTATAGCATCTGCTCCTTATTCCAGTTTATCAGTGCTACTGTGTCTTTACTGCACAAGCAGAAAGAGATGTTAAGTTCTATGTCCTTTCTCTTAAGAGTGTACAATTCTGCAAAATTTTGTGGTCATCAAGTACGTTGAAAAGGAGCAGGTTTACAGCATTCTACTATTCTACATGCGAACTGTTCAAATGTTATCAGCTAATCATGACAGCTGCATGCCATTAACATAATGATTTTGTATCTTAATCACCTCCTAAATAAATGCCTTTTCAAAATCTGCCTTGCTGAAAAGCAAAGCACCTAGGCCCGCGGTGCACTGCTGTTACTCTGGGGCCAGTGGCATTGACTCATGCCGATCTGAAACTGGGATCCCACATCTCAAGCTGTT